TTTTTGCTTATGTGGTGCTGAGGAATGGAACCCAGGGCCTCATGCTTGCAAGGCAAGCACTCTACCACTGAGCCACCTTCCCAGCCCCAAGTCCAGGAGACTCTTATCTCCAATTAACCAACAGAAAACCAGAAGTGGTTCTGTGCCTCAAGTGTTGAGGGACAGTGCACAGACCCAAAAGAAAAAAAAGAGAGAGAGAGAAACTCATAGGCTTTCCTGGAACTCTGGGCCTAGGCACTGTCCCTGAGCTGGAACTCTAGGCACTGTCCCTGAGCTGGAACTCTAGGCACTGTCCCTGAGCTCTTCAGCTCAAGGCTAGCACTCTCTACCACACAGCCACAGTCCCACTTCTGGTTTTCTGGAGATAACAGTCTCATGGACTTTTCTGTCTGGGCTTGCCTTAAACCTTGATCCTCAGATCTTAGCCTTCGGAATAGCTAGGATTATAGGCATGGGCCACCAGTGCCTGGCATTTAAAAAATTTTTAAATGACAGTACTGGGGCTTGATGAATCAATATCGATCTGTTATTACCTAAAACCTATAGTTTCCATTAAGGTTTGGTTTGTGTTGCTTGCTTTGGTTGGGATAAATGTGACATGTATCTGCCATTGTAGCATCATATAGACTGTTGTGATGTGCTAAAAATCCCTGTGTTCGGGGCTGGGAAGGTGGCTCAGTGGTAGAGTGCTTGCCTTGGATGTATGAGGCCCTGGGTTTGATTCCTCAGCACCACAATGAGCAGGAAAAGCTGGAAGTGGTGCTGTGGTTCAAGTGGTAAGGTGCTGGCCTTAAGCTAAAGAGCTGAGGGACAGGGCCCAGGCCCAGAGTTCAAGCCCCATGACCGAAAAAAAAAAAGAAAAAGAAAAAGAAAAATCCCTGTGTTCCACATGCTTATCATCCCAACACTGGGCAATCTTTATTTCCCCATAGTTTTTCCTTTTAAAGAATGTCATATAGTTGATATAATATTACATGTAGTCTTCAATTAGCTACTTTCATTTAACTACATGCATTTAAGATTCCTCTATGCTTTGATATATGGCTTGATTTATCTTTTCCTTGTCCCATAATATTTCATTGTATATATGTACCTGTTGATAAATTCCAATTCTTGACAATAGTGAATAAAATTTCTTTTTCTCTGCCTCTCTCACTTTTTTTTGTGGGTCATGAGCTTGAACTCTGGGCCTGAATGCTGTCTCTCAGCTCTTCAGCTCAAATATTGCACTCTACCACTTGAGCCACAGTGCCACTTCCGGTTTTCGGAGTGGTTTATTGGGAGATAGAGTCTCATGGACTTTCCTGCCTGGGCTGGCTTTGAACTGCTATCCTCAGATCTCAGCCTCCTGAGTAACTAGGATTATAGGCGTGAGCCACTGGTGCCCAGCTTCACACTAAATTTTTTATTCCATGTTTTCTGCAACTATTTTTTTTACTACTGAAAGTAGTATATTTGCTTAGTTTTTCAGAAATTTTTTTTTTTGGGTCCTGTCGTGGGGCCTGAACTCTAGGCCTGGGTGCTGTCCTTCAGCTCTTCAGCTCAAGGCTAGCACGCTACCACTTGAGACATAGCACCACTTCCAGCTTTTTTTTTTTTTCTGCTTATGTGGTGCTGAGGAATCGAACCCAGGGCCTCATGCA